AAAACAGCACTAGACAGAAAATACAAAATTTTAAATACAATTTGATTGCTCTGCTTATCAAGACATAGTTTTATTCAATTGTTCTACTTGAGATTTACTAAAGAAATCCAAAATCTCTATTCGAAGTGTGAAGTGACAGCAAACCAGCTATTGTGATTTTACATACCAGTTATTTGAAACTGTTGCTATGTTCACAATATGAAGGTCTCAGTTCTCATATATAAACGTTCTCTCATGCATACATGTTCTTTCATACATTGTATTACTTAGCAATAACAACAGAAAATATTTTTAATGGTGGAAGAAATATTTTAAATTGTTAAACTGAATGTCACATTTTCTGTCAAACTCCTTGAGTGGTCCATTTAAGAATCCATTTTACCTACTCTTCCAGACAAGCTTATCCATAAGAATCATACATTTCCCCATAGGTAGAAAACAAATATAATTTGTCACATGTTGTGCTATACAGACATTTGTGCACTACACTAGAATGTCTGAAGGGGAAGACACCCCAGGTAGTTGGCTGCAGACACATCTCAGCAACATGGCACATAGTTACAATTTGTCACATATAGTCTTTATAAATCCAATGTCTATGAAGTCAAACAAATCTCCTTCTTATTTATAGTAACAGGCAAGAGCAGATCTTTGCCGTCTTGTTACACAGATGGTTGTAACATTTTTATAGTTAACTTACAACCACTGATGCCTGAGGAATAGACACACATCTGCCCCCAACTGCCAGTCCTGTAGGCTCTTCTTTTTAACTTTAGCTACCAAAAATACAGTCAAAATACATGTAACACCATCACCCCAAAAAAGCTGCCATGACGAAAAGCCCCATACAAATTTGCATTAATACTGGCATTTGCATTAACAAATCTTTAACTTTACATAGATTGGACAGTGATCATGTGCACAGCAAAAACACCAGTAATACCAACTAACCTCCAAAACTAAAGTTTTGGAGAAAATTCATAGCCCCAGATCCCATATACTGAACTTAGTTTGGAAAAATGCTTGGAAGAAAAAAAAAATAAATCATTAGAAGCTTCTGAATTTATGTTTTATTAAGAAGATTTTGAAAGAGCCTCGTACTTCATACAAACTACTGTCCATATGCTCTTTTTTAGCTGCTTGATAAAATGTGAAGGCATGGCTTGCTCGTCTTGAAAAAAGGAAAGCAATTGCCTAGGCTCTTCTTCTCCTACTTGAAGATACTACTCCGTATTTTCTGTATTTCCACACATCATCTGGGTCTTTAACGGGAAATGAACACAGAGAAGAGCTAGCTATATGAAATTAAATGCTTCCCATTTTAGACACCGTCTGCCCACATAAGAAATTGTCTAAATAAATGACTTACAATCAAATGCTTGCTTTATGAGAAGAACAGATGAAGAAAAGCAAAACTGCAATTGAACCTTGCATCTACAAGAGTTGTTAACTTAGTTCAGTGAAAGCTTAAGTAGACTGGTGAAATCCTGATCCATGGCAGCTTGGGCAAATACTACTTCCTCATAATTATGTTCTATCAATAACAGATCTATGCAGATAATTGACTTTTTCTTCTTGCTTCTCAGATAAGAACAGAGCTCATGAGAAAGTGGATCTGAATTTACACAACTGGTCTAGCTACAGAGGTGAAAATGCTTGCCTTGGAATTAAGTTTGAAAACAGATAAAGGAGAGAGTGAACCAACGTTATGTGTACAGTTACGCAATTAATTTGATTTTGGATTTTCCTTCCTTTAGAGTCTATTTATTTTTTGTGGACTGGAGCACAGAAGGAAAACAGAAAGATAGTTTAAACTTTTATTTTTGCTAGACATTTGAAGAATTTAATCACAAAAATTGTTTTGAGGTTGAAAATTTATACCAGTTTGCCCTTTGCCACATAAGGGACAAGGATTTATTTCATCAATATTAAGATCCATGAAGTCACGTACACTGACCACCTCACTTCCAGTGGCGCAGAGGTCTTATGTTACGTTAATTAAGACTTTTGAGATAATACACTTAGCTAAACAAATCACTGGCTGAAATGAGACACCGCTGCAAAAAATACCAAAACAAGAACAATGTAAAAAAACCCAAAAACAAACACTCCCTCCCCCATATGTATCTAAAGCAAAGATCCACAGGATTGCTTGATTAACAACAGTAAATGAACACCTCTTCATAAGCTCCACCACAGCCTTAATATGTCACCCTAGTCCTGCAACCATACATGTTTCAATTAAAATTTGCCCCAATAGCATGGAACAACTGTATCATTTGGATCTACTTTTAAGACCATATTTCACTGAGCAAAAACACACTGAAAGAGATGAGATTTTGCATTACATTGGAAAGACTGATTCAAAATAACGTCTAATGATTGCAATTTAAAGTACTCCCTTTAAAACATCCTTCTATCATTTTGGACTATATTCATATGAAACACATACTCAGACAGAGACAGGAATGGCAGAGAAAGAGCTTATCTCTTTAGCTTTCAGGAATGCAACTGCCACAATTACCATTGTTGCTCCAAAAGAAATTCAAATTCATCAATTAGATCTTGCTCCTTCTACAAAATAGTTGTATCATGGCCTGTCATATTGTCCTAGAATCACACAAGTTGTGAAAAAGATTTCTTCTTAAACAAATACTGCAATTCCTTATTATTAAATGCAAATGTTAGGTCCCCAGTTAAGTCAAAATCATTTTGATACGAGAAATTTTCAAAAGAGAGACTGAATAACAACAGCGAGAAAATCACGTAGGAATCCACTTTGCATGACTGTTGCAAAAGGACCCCTGTTATTTGTACTTGCATACAAAGGGGAAACGTATTGTGTTAAGAAGTAATATCCTTAATATTATTTTGCTGCAAATTATTATCTGAATGATGGAGGAAAATCTAAGGTAAAAGATACCGTTACATGTTATTCTCCCTTTACTAAATAGGATAGTCAGATCTATGTTTTCAAAATCAGAAGAGAAAATCTGTTTTAGTTGATGGAAGTCCTTCAACATAAATATAAGGAATGAGGAGATTTATTTGTTGTAGTTAAACTTTCTGCTTTCCTTCACCTCGCTCAGAATTCTTCATATCTAGTTTATACCATTTGGGAACAAATACTTAAAATCTATTATAGTTTTCACATGGAAACTAAAACTAGATTACACTGAATTTTTAAAGCACTTTGTGATATCAACCTTGTCACTTACTATCTGGTCTTTAACTCAACAGTGTGTAAGATCATAATTAAAAATACATTAAGAGTCCCCTCTTAAAATCCTGGTAAAGTATACTGTTGATAAGTCAAATACCTGATATCCTCTGCCATATTTACACGTTCTAAAATACTAAATTAGGCAAATGCTATCACTGTCCTGTTTTCTCTCTTTGTTGCCAGCAAAAGAGCAGCAGAAGGTAAGGCACTGCCTGCAGCATGAACACTCTGCTTTCAAACCACTTTTTTGTTCTGGATTAATGCTTTCAATCTTTTCTAGTGTATAATAATTGCTGCTGCAGCAGAGAATGAGCAACATTTTCCAGTAGATCTATTAGGTTCTGACAGAGGAAAGATTGTCCTAAAAACTTACAATGCAGTCTTAAATTTAACTAGACACTAATAATTCTACAGGAGAACAGCTAGGAGGAAAAAAACCAAAACCAAACCAAACCTTTGAAAGCAACTCAGTTCTCAGTGCATGTCCCCCATATGCTAAGAACCCACCACAAGTAAAGAAACCAAACCAGGAGGTGAAATGAATGGAAAGATTATGTAGTCACATAGATTAGGGACACAGTCATAGCATTTTGAAATTTTTTGTTCTCTGACATATAAAAGATGATGACAATTCTGGGTTACAGAAGAACAGGATGAGGGACAGTCAGTTATCTGAAAAGGAAGAGGAAAAAAGTCTGGGATACAAAAGAATGCACAGAAACAGGCCGATATGGACAGACAGAGAATGAAGAGATGGCAGGAAAAAACAATCAATACTTGGAAAAAAATGAGCATGCAAGACTGGCTGCTTCAATACAGGCAAGCTTTGCTCCTTTTAGGTGGTCAGTGGCAGAAATTTGCCCAGCCAGAACTATGTAGTCCAAATGAAGTTAACCTGCATTTTGCCTTTTACTACTGACAAGAGGCAGCCTGGCTGACTGGTTTTGCAGAGCTGCCTCTCAGCCATCTCCCTACTTTATTCTCTACCTGCCCAACCATACCTAAGCTCTTTCCAGTGCCTGTTACACTGAGTTATGGAATTGGAAACAGAACAAGAGAGCACAGATGAACTTTCAAGTACCAAAAAGAAAAGTCTGCACCATGATCTTCAAGGCTATCTAATACAATTTGCAGTCCAAGGCATTAGCAGTCTGGAAACTCTGGCCAGAACAGTCAATATTTGTGGAAATAATTCACACTATTCTTGTTGTAGCTCTTCCTGCAGAAATCACTGCTTCTCTGAAAAGGCTAGTGGTGCCTGGAAGCTGTTAATACTTCTCTGGTAACTAAGATCTTCAGTAAGATTTATCTGTTTATATGAGTTTTTACAAGTTGAGTATTACTGAGAAAGGTAAGTTGGTAAAACTGAAAAATACACCTATTAAATGACCTAATGGAATCCACATCTGTACTCTATATTCATACTACTAAATTACCTCCTCTCTCCTCCCTTCCCCCACTACCCTCTTTTTTTTAATATGGTAAGACAATTCATCCAAGTTAGAGCAGAGAACAGCCGAAGCAGCCCACACACATATGTACTAGGCTTAAATTCTTTGGAAGACTATGTTGCTCAAGCTTTCCTTTTATTTATCCAAAATGGCACAAGCAAAAGATGTTATAAAAAAACCCTGACAGTATGCTTGGGGTGGGGGAAGGAGTGGCCGTTTTCATAAGGAAAGTATATTATATTCAAACAACCTAGTGTCATTTTTATATTTACACAACAGGTACAGTAGAGCATACCACATACTGACAGATTAATAGGACCTCCTACCTCGACTTCATCCTCTCATGCATTCTCCCATGCTGGATACATTGTTGGTCCAATTCATCATTCCGTTTCTGCATCTTCTCCAATCTGCCATGAAGATACTCTTTTTCCTGACTAAGCTGGTTGACTTCAGATCTACAGAAGTAAAACACAGTGATGATGGATGTTGTCAGATTTCATCCTACAGTGTGCCATCAGTATGTGGCTTCAGCATTTATAAAATTTCATACATGTATATGCAATGCATAAACAGGCTATTACTGGTACTTACAGAAACAAAATACTTTTCCAAATAATCTTAAGACAAAAGAACAAGGTATCTGGAGGGTATCTGGTAAATATGCCAACAGCAAACACCCAGTCATAGGTTGGCTATGCTAATTTCAGCCTAATTTAAAGGGGCATGTCATTTGAAGTTATGCGTTAATATTACGTAAAATCAATAAATATAAATTAATATTTGTTGAGCAAGAATTTGGCCAGCATTTTGAAAACACATTTCAAGTTCTTTATTAGGAAAAACTAACACTAATTTAAAAAATGGTTGCTAAAAACTTGTTCAACCTTAATTGCACTGTACAGGTTCAACTCTCAATAGTAGTACTGTTTGAGAAACTTTATAAATCTAATATGCCCGAAATACCATTAGACAGATTAAAAAAACCCCACAACACATTAAGAGAGAAAATTAATAAAACCTTTAAGAAACAAGGGACAAATCATAAAGGCAAAGCCTCATCTACATAAAACTCGGCACAGCCTTTAAGAAAATTAGTAACTTCTAGCAATTTTTATTCTTCACGGGTAAGCAGAGACACCAGATCCATGAATGACCCGGGACTGCTACTTGCTACATCTCTAACCATCAGCCCATGGAAAAACAGGCATGAGCTGTTTCTTAATATCAGGAAAAGCACTCAGATTAAATTGTGATAAAATATACATTATGCACTTGTACAGTTTAACTCTTTGGTAAAGGTTAATGAGAACATGTCAGAATCTGCTATACCATCAGAATGTAGGAATCAAAAGCAAGCAAATTTGTTTTATGGCATCTGCCACTCCAGATCTTGAGGTTAAAAAGCTTCAGGGATATCTTTAAATCATAAACTTAAATATGCTGCAGTTACAGTGGAAAGATATTTTACCTCCCTGGCTGTTACAGAATGCAACCACAACTGACATTCTGAAAAACAATGTGCAGGGAGAAGGAATACTTGTCCTTGAAAAGCATGTTGTTACATTGACAAGTCAAATCTGGAAATGACAACATAATCCTTACATGTTTAAATAGAGAACAATACGTGGTATCATCTGTGAATCTAAAAGAACTTAGCAAAGGAAACTTTGGAAAAAGACTGTATGTAATTGAATTTAGATAGGGAGTTAAAGCTCTATTAAGGATCATCACTGACAAATAAATCAGAATTGTGCTGATGTATTGGTACATCAAACTTAAATGCACAAGACTTTCCTGGATGGGTATGTAACAATATGTAACAGTGGGCAGGATGTTATACAAAGCTAAATGAATTGGAATTTTTACAACAACTTTTTACAGAAATACTAGTAACTTATATGTCATCATCAACAAAGCACTGTCAGTTGGACCAACTGTTATCACACAGTATGGATGTGTCTGTACTTGACTCTGATACTGTAAGAAAGTCAATCAGTGGATAAAAGCAAAGGTTCACCACAGAGCAGCTCAACAGAGGTGTAACAAAGCTCAACCCAGTGGTAACAGGGACTAAACTCAAGACTGCTTTATTTTTTTTTGCCAGCAAAATGCAACAACAGCATTTACCATGTGGGAATACTGAAATGATCATGTCTGTAGGGTTTCCCAACTGGGGGATCCCGCTTTTTCGTCTGTATTTCTATGTGGCTGTCTCATTCACAGGAACAGCAGAAGCAACTTTCAAGGTGGCAAAACCCTCCAAGTTTTAAAGGGACTTATTCATCTCTGGCACATTTGAAGGTGCCCAAAGTCTTTCTGGAAAGATAAGGGATTGAAACCAACACAATACTGAAAATAACTATTAATGAAAAAAACTCACAAACTGAATTAATTGAAAATATGAGTAGCATGATCTCCAGCCTCTAAAATACAAGCTCTATATGCCTGATGTTTTCAACCATGGCACTTGTGTTCTATTATCTGAAATTTACAGTTGAACTCAGCAAAAGAAAACAATTAATTCCAGTCAAAATATAATTTACACAATGCCCCTTCCAAGTACACATCTAAGTCTTGAACACCCAAATTCAAGTACTTCATTACACTGAAATCTCGGAGACCAGCACCAAGAAAGTGCAGAATTCCAAGGAAGGTCATGTTAAAGGGTTCATGTGCCGGTGTTAAAGAGAGAACATCAATCCCAATTCAAGACTGCACACCAAGAGTCTTCATTATCATCTGACAAAGATCACCTGTAATTACACTTCTGCAGACTCAACTCAGGCTGGCCCCACAAATCACACACTCATGTTAATGCATCTGTGTGTGCTTCTGAGACCTGGATAGACTCAAAAGACCTGTATGAAATCAATATTCTTTCAAAACCGCACAGAGCAATGGTACAATATTATATTAAAATGACAATGCAAAATGCATGCTTGTAAGCAGATGGGTAATAGATTTTGCCCAATCTCATTTACTTGTCACTGTATTTGATAATGACTGGAAGGACTACAGGGACAGCAAAAAAAAACCCAACCCAAACCCCTCTATACTTCTGGATCCATTCAACTACCAATTAAACCTCAACATCTACTTAAAAACAATTCTAAGTTTTTATCTACCACCCTTGCTGGAAAAGTCTTGGTAAAAACAACACTAGTTTCTCCAACACATTCAAATATTGGAGACAAAGAACCAGCAAATGTTAAACAGTCACCATCCAAATTAAGTATTAAGGTATCTCCAGGATGAGCTGATTTTTTAACACTAACATGGCAATGCTGCCCTTACTCCTCAGAGCTACGTTCAGCATTGCAGTGCTTTTTAAGCACTACCTATTCCTGCTCCAAGTAAAACTAATTGTTTACTTGTACAGCAATTAAAGAGATGCTCTAAAATCTTTTCTGCTGACACAGTGTTGTTGCACATAATTTTAATGACCAGTCCTTCAAACAGACTGTTCCACATCTTTGTACAGCTACCTTCAACAGACATTTCACTCCTGGTGTTGAGCACAATGACTGCAGTCAACCAAACGTGCAGAAAAATAGTTCAGCCGGGTGCGAGTTCTTTACTTCAATTAAACTCACACAGTTGGATGCCTACTGTTGCCAAACCAGTAATATAATTTATACATTATAGTCCAAACAGTAAAACTACACTAAAAGTCATTTAACAATATTTATAACACCATAAAATACAGTGTTAAAATATATGAACTGCAATATGTACCAAAATTATAAAATTTGTTTCTCATCATCAGTGATTAAAACCAGGATCATTGCTCTAGCTTCAATACTCACAACCCTGGTGACAGATTAGAATTCAAATCTTAATGATCAATTTACAATTAACAAGATAGAAGTGAAACAAATTAAACCAACCATTATATATAACGAGACCCAGTGGACTCCCATTGTTCCCCTTAATTACAAAACGCAAATCACAAATACACAGTGGGTAGTGTTAAGCATTAATCTACAACCTAGAAACTTAGACAGTGACAATCAGAGAAAAAAAGAAACAAAATAACAGAGAAGAAATCAACAAAGGACTGTTATTTTTAAACATGCCTGTGCATACAAAAACCTTCACAGACACTATCTTCTTTCTGCACAGCTTGAAGGGTTTATAATTTGTCTGACATTGTCTTTCTGAAGCTTTTCTAATCCTGTGCAGGGGCTTGCTCACAAAAAATGGTTCCAGCTTACATACAAACAAGAAAGTTTAAATTTAAATTTTGTAGAAAACCTGCATTAAATATAAAAATATATGTGCAGTTCAGAGGCATAGCTGCCACAGGTAAATTTGAAATGCATCTTACTACAAATGAGCCCTTTAAGTCCTATAAAAACACAAAAATGTTACAATAAACTTACTCTTGCATCTCTTATTTAAAAAGCTTGAGTGTTTTACCATTTAAATAATGGCACTGTTACTATACAGTCATTTCTTAACCCCGTGGAAACTAAGGCACAAAGATTCTAGAAGTATAGCAATACACATTCAGATCCAAAATTCAGTTTCTGCTAAGGCTGAAAACATGGAAGAAATATTTTCCATGCAAATAGGGCACACTGCTATTTTATGATCTGATTTTATTAATGTACATAAGAACTACATTACCAAATCTTCCAAAATCCACTAGTTTTTTTCAGAGGACAAATATCCTTTTGTCCTAGGATATTGGTTTTACACTATAACCAGACACGATGAACATGAAGATTGCCTTTTGGAGGGATGTAAGGAAAGATACAGACTGATCTTGCATGTAAAACATTGCTGACGTAATTTTCGG